GTAAGAGCGTGACGTATTATATCGAGGATCTCTCGCGAGCAAAAAGCAAGAACTTTAAGTGCGACACCGAAGTTCTCGATTTACGAGCGACACCGTCGTCAGAAAGTTATGCGATAAATAAGGCGTTGAAAAAGGAGGAAAAAAAATACGCGGAATACCGGTTGGTAGACCATTCAAGACGATTTGCGGCGGTCGCGCGTTATGGTACGTAAGCAATAAAGCCTAACTAAAAATTCATTTCTGTCCCGGACAGAAATAGTAATCGGTACGATGTTGTGTTTCACACGATTTAAAAGCCATTAGGTAAGACGATACTACAGAAGGCGGGTAAGGAGATAAAGAGGTCGAGATTATGGAGGGATCTACCTGCATGTGGTGGGTGCGTGCTTTTGGGATTCAGGTTTTTGCTCGCAAAAAGGAGCTAATAAAAATTTCTTTCGGCTCAAGATCGTGTTACGTAGTCTCGCCGTTCTCTCCTCTGTTGGTCTTCCATAATCTTTATAAGATTCGGGTAACGTAATAATCATAGTGGAGGTAGCAATTTAATTTATAAAATAATAAATAAACGATTTAACTTTTAGTTACTTTTTTTTTCATGGCATTAAGGGATTGCCATACATGAAAGAGAGACACGAGAGAAATAATAAATTAAATTTGAAATATATTTCTTCTCAAATATTTACTTAATAGAAATATCTACTTAATAGAAATAAAAAAAGTAAAGATTATATTGATTTAATAGGTATTTTAAATAAATAATTAAGAAATGATTGTAATTATATTTCTCGTTGAAAAATATATGGTAGAATGCTATGTTTGCAGATTGTACTGCAGGTTGTATTGTAAATCATCATGATTTTCACGTTTCTATTAATTCCGTTCGTTCTATCCCTCTGAAAAGCATGTCAAAAATGTAGTCGCGGGAAATTACAGCACCTCGCACCAAATATCGACGATGCATTATTTATTAAAAGATGCCGGTGTACGTGACCCGGATGTTAAGGGGTCGGGTAACGTCCATGAAACTTCCGGGCCGTTTCGAGCACTTTTCTAGAGGAATTTTTTGCTTAGCCGTGTACATTCTCACGACCACGCCGTCTCTCTTTCTATAACCCTCTCTTCCTCATAAAGCCTCGCCTCGGTGACTTCTTATCCTGCGGCTGCCTTAAGCCCACTTTACACTCCAGAAACTTTCTCGTAACCTTCCCGGCCGACGCGTCACGTAATCGCGTAACTCCGCCATCCGCGAAATTTGTTGTCGCCTTTATCACGCCGGCACGTACGTTTCCCGGAGAAATTTTATTTTCCGCCCTGTAATCGTCCATCGACGGTTTATACGCGGCCGATCGGAGCGCGATGGCTCAAGAATCTACTTTACAACGTCTCCTGTTAGATTAAAAAGAATTATAGCGTTATATATCCAATCTATAACTATGGATAAGACGTATAAAGGTAATGGCGCGTAATTGCACGCATCGTTTAACGTTAAAAATTGTCATTCGCTTTTGCGTTCGATACGCCTGCGTGACAGTTTATTAATTATTTAGATTTCGGTAACGCCCGCGAAGACCGAGTATAAGGCGACGTCGTGTGCTTGTTAAATTGGCAGGAAGGCTCATGTTTATTTTGTTCCGTGAGTTTCAACGGTTTACATATATAAATACGGAATGAACATGTTTTGATCGTTACGGACGCGTGAACATTAACTCTTAACTCTGGCCGGCCTGCGTCCCCTTTCACGGTCCTAATGATATGCCGGGTGAATATTCATTTGCGGATTACTTTCATGCAAATTAACGGCGCCACTCCTCGAGCATCGATGGCACTCGCGCGCACGCGGGTGTGCGGAGTTCCGAAAGTCTTAAAATGAAGCAGTTTGCAAACTTGATACGAACCTAATTACTACTCGCCAGCTTTATCGTCAATAAAACATGGTATATATCGCGGCACCGTAATTTCGATTTCGGCCGCTTTAATGAGTCGTAAAAAAGTCGAAATGCGCGCCGACCGGAACGGTCGTCCGGAAGATCGTCATACGTTCTTTTCACGGCAGCGCAGGTCGCAAGCTCTTGCCGTATAATACCGTAAAAATTTCAGCTACTTTAACAGCGCGGGAGGTGATCGATCGAGTAGCAAGTAGCGAGGTGGCAATTAAACGCGCGAGCGTTATCGTCGCAATTAAACACCGCGCTTTATCCCCGTCCGTCGGATACGAGCACGAGAAACGGACGTAGACTAGACTTGGCGCGGGGGTTAACCGTATCCCGACTATCATCGATCCTACCGAAATCCGATATCACCGCACGGAGCGAGACTGCTGGTGTTACAGTAGATCTCGCGGGTTTCCTGCCGTCTGCAGCGTTCACGGGTCGAGTCGTATGTAAGACGACTCTCGCACCTCCGCCGTCTGTATATGAATGGAAATATGAAATTTCCGACCCGCGAGACGTGACGAGGGGACAATGTCACGTCGGTCTACTCGAGCTCGGACTAGACGACTCGCTCCGCCGCGCGCGCATCTCCAAATAGATAAAGCGACAATCCGTCCGGGAGACGCGGCAATAGCCGAATTTTGTGGCCGTTCCTCGCGTATATGGAGATTTGTGTGGGGATTTCAATTGTAAAGCGGAAGAGTAGACTCCGCCGTATAGTCGGAATAATTCAAAAGATTGCATTCGTGTGCCCGTTTTAACATCCCAGATTCTGAGTCAATCCTCCCTTTTTTCACCAGCTCTCGCTCTAGTCGCGGAGACGCAATCACATCTTCTTGTAATCTAGCTCATTCAGGATCCACATCGATGGACCCTGGTGGTTCTTCGTCAACATCCCGTCGTAAGCACATCCATCGTTGCGCCTTCGTCGAAACGCGCTCGAGGTTCGAGAGGGCGAACGTGTAACTCGTTTTTTACGCATACATTCGAACGGGATTGGAGGAGACTCGTGAAACGTGAGATGCTCTCTTCCGCCGATGGGACCGTTTGCATCTTTTTGCATCGCGAATGAGATCCACTTTCGCAAGGTGTCGCAATGAGATTGTAATCTATACGTCTCGTCGAGTAGTCAGACAGTCGGAGACACCTCTCGAAATAGATCTACAATTTAAAAGCCGCTTAAAGCGGACGTAAGAGTCGTACCCCCGAATCCGTAGGACGCACAACTTTTGTGTACAGGGTGTCTCAAAATCGTCGCGACGTTTATTCGCCTGTAAATTCGTTGATTTCTACCTCTTTTGAATTACAAATAATTAGGAATAAATGGATTTTCGCAAATTATTATGTAATAAATGACAAAAATTTTTATTTAAACGGACAGATATTAAGACATATCTAATGTGGAAATGTGCACATGTCAAAAAAAAAAAAATTATTAATGAAAAATTAAAGAGTGATCAATTTTAGTCTTATATTGATGAAATTGATCTTTAAATTCGACAGAAAAATTCTTTGATTGAGAGATGAGAAACGAGATCGAGTTTTGGGACATCTCGTATACAGAGAACATCGATCATTCCGGCTGATCCTCTTTCGCGCGAAGACGGAAGCGAGAATTTGCAGTTACCGCTTTTTCCATGGCGCGAATGGCGTCTCGCTCACTCGCAGAAGTCGTTTTTCAATTAGGAAAAGATACCGGCGACGTCCGCGGGGAAATTGATTCGACGTCGATGTGCGTGAAAGGTCACGTAACGGGATTGATGAGATTATTGGCTCGAGGGGCTCGCCATTTCAAGCCCTAATGCAACAAGTGAAAATATTTCTGTAAGTAAGGAACGATGGCTCGTCGATCGGAAGAAAGAGTGATGATGCAGCTTTATTATTAAACGCAATTTTCGCGATCAATTTCTTCGGGTCCGCCGCCCGGCGGAATAGGCCGTGTTAAACATTTAAATGACCGCCCGAGGCTTCATTTGCTAATGAAAATTTAAGATCCACTTTGGAAACGCTATGGGCACAGCCGAGACATTTCCATTCACGTGTAGAATGGCAAAGTAGATAAGCTTCGTAGATAAATTGATAGCACAATTAATATTAATGTCAATCACACAAATTAAAACGTTAAAATATGTAATATAAATTAAAATAATTATTAACACAATTTATATTTTTTGCCATTTACACGCGCAATACTGAAAAGATGAGCTCAAAGGTATTCATATAAGCAAGATTAATAGAAAAACAAATGTTTAACTTTGACCGTAAGCAGATAAGCTCTTAATATCTTTCTTCACATTTTTCAAAATGTATTCTTCCGAAAACAAAAGTAGAGGGGCACTTTCTCCACTTTATTCATGCAGGCCAGCATGTCCGTGGAACTTCTCCTCGAAGATAAAGGACAGTTTAGGCGAGTATTATGCATCCTTAAATTCCAGAATGTGTTTCTTCAACGTTTTCCGTATAACGTCAGCTGTTATCTCACTGCGTGATGCGACACTTATATTTGCTAATTACCATGATATTGAGCAGATGTTGTTAGTGACAACGAGGATATTGTGGAAGCCTAACATGGGCCACGGTCGGAACAGGTGACTATCCCCACACCGCGGTCCGATCGATAATTCACAATTAGGGTGGTCGGTATGGTCTTGTCGGCCCTAATCTTCAAAGGGCCTCTCTTCGTGTAATAGCGTGATATCGAATAGCTTCAGCCTCGTTTCCTCCGTGTTCCAGACTTGCAGACCACCATGAACCGTCCTTTAAATTGATGAAAGACAGAAGGGATGTGTTGCTCATCGAAGTTAAACTTTGTGTTGCCTTTGCCGCTAATCATCCATGAGATATTCCCGAGGAAAATATTTTATAGTTAAAGAAATATGCCCGATCACAAATTGCAGTTGTATTATTTGAAAGTGAGCGCAAATTCCCTGATTAAATCGTTACTGAAATTTGGTTTTAGCATGTCTCTATTTCGAGAATGTGAGATAGCGTTAATCAACTAGTTTATTCATTATCGCTTTATTGTAACATGAAACCATTCTATAAGTAACAATTTATTTAATTTTTCAGTTTCAGAATGAATACGACGATGATCTACAACGGTGCGGCAAGCACCGTAGCTTATGATATCGAAAGACTCAGTAAGGAGATCAATGGCAGCGACAGCGATCTTGATGTTTCGCCAGTGACCTTGTCATCGGCCTGGTCCAGAGTGGCCCGACTCTTGCTGCTGGCTTCGCTCGCCGTCGGCGGGAGTGTGGGTAATGTCTTCATGATATCCGCCGTGGTAGTGGAGGATCAGCTGAACAAGCGAGGTACGTTCGCAATTTGCTCTTTACGATCGCAAATAAAAACGATAGCAAACGATAGAATTCTGCTTGCAAAGAGCGGAGAGGGAGAATCGTTCTCGCTATATAAATTTGAGGCGGAGAGAATTAAAATAGTAAAGGCGACATTAGAAAGGATTGAAAAGAGCGCGGGAGAGACAGGGTGGGGAGAGGTAGTGGTGTACCTGAAAGAGAATGCTCTCATCGACAAATGCAACGACAAAAGTTTTTACTCTATAGAAGTATATCCGACTAAAAGCCATCCAGGGGGTCGTACATTTCCGACGTGCCTCGCGACAACGTTCTTTCGTATATATCGCTACGGTAAGATCTCTTATCTTTTTCTTTTTTTTGCGTCTCCACGGACAAAAGCGTCCTCCGTCTGTATCCGGCTGGGGAAGGACGTAACAGTAAAGAACGTCGTCGGCACAATCTGCAGGGAAGATGGGATCTTCAACGTGCTATTATACCTGCGGCAATGACGAGATCGATTTTTCGTATTATTTGCAAACCGCGTACTCCTCCTTCTCCTCTCTCATCCTTGCAGATACACCGGCGTGATAATAAATAATCCCTGGACACTATCGTGCGTCGTTGTCTCCGCGCTGGCTCGTGCTCAGACCGACCCGAGATAATTATTATTTGCACGCGAGCACTCCGCATAGAGCGTAATAACAATGACACTGTGGATAGAATGGTATACAAAGCAATGGGGATGGAAACGTAATTACATTGTCGGCTAAGTATATCGCTCTTCCTCCTTTGTCTTCTTATCTTTATATTCAATTTAAATCCACAAGTTTAATTTGTCATGGAGAGATGCGGGCGCTTGAAAATGATCTGTCTACGTTTGTCTCAAAACTTCCGACCTAAAAAAATTTTTTAGTTAAATAAATTTATTAACAGATTTAAAGGGACATTATGTTTTTATATACACAGAATTTTAAAGGACGAGGAGATGACAATTCGTTGCAAGTTTTCAATATCAATATTAAATGTGTAATTTTTAATCAACTACAAAGATCATAATGTTTCAAATGTTTCTTTTTTTCTAAAGTATTTGTATTGATCCTAAGTTTTATCTTTATAACGTTTTTTATTATATTTTAAAATTTTTATAGTTTTTTATATAGCTTTTTATAGTGATTTTATCAAGCGTATATACACTTGTGTATTACATATAGCTTCCTGAGGAGATTTAGTCCCAGAGCAGCAAATCAATTTTACCTCTTTTACTCTCTCTCTCTCTCTCTCTCTCTCTCTCTGTACTTTCTCTCTCTTTAAATGACTTTTTTTTCATCTCTTCCTTTTTTCTCGTCCTCCCCTTTTTCTTTTTCTTCTTCTTCTCAGCACTTTAATTTGCCGAGTTTCTCGGTTTTATAACTGTGTGCCGTCACACGCTGGCCATCCTCGTAATTCTTATTGAAACGGTCCGAAACATTTTTACCGCTATTTTATTCTGCATGAATCTCGATAGAGTGGCGCAAATAATACCGGCTTTCGTTCGTCCGGAGCCATTCACCGAGAAAATCTCGTTCCGTTTTCCTCGTTTTCTCAGCTACCTATAAAGTTCTCAGCTCGTCGCGATGCGGTCGTCTTTCGAGCCGCGATGACAGCGAGAAACTTGGGTCATTATTATTACGATAACCTTCGGAGAATTAACCTTCGGATTGTCTGCGGCTATTTCTCGATTTTACAGTGATTTTGAACGCGTCTGAATTTGACATGACGAACGCAAATGTTTTTTTAAAAGACGGTCTTTAATAGTGTTCCATGATCGTTTCTACGTCGAATACGCGCGTTTCAAGGAGGACATAAAGTCCATGGCCACACGAATGAGGATACATGAATCCTTAATACGCGGCGATGATGGAGGTGCTTGTGTGCTTTAATGGATCGTATTTGAACGTTCAAACGCGAGTCTGTGACCAATTGTTGATACTACTCGCTATTATTTTTTTTACACCTTGGCCTAGCCATATTTCTTATTTCTTGTTCTTATATTTTAAGAATATACAGTAGCGATAAAAATATAGGTTATGATATATAAGTTGTTAGCTTTTTTTTGTTATGTCCATGAGAATTTATCTACTTCTTGTCCATCTATGTAGTATGTGTACCTATCTATGTCTCGTTTGCTTTTATTGAAAGTGAATATTTATTGAAAGCATAATGACGATATATATCTATATAAAATTTTAATATATTAATTAAGCTTTTATTATTATTAATACCCTTCTTCATTATTTGAAATTTTAATTTACAATAATATAATAATTTCTTATTGTATGCTAAGTATGTGAAGTAATTTTTGTTATTATTGACATTTTATAAAATAGGATTTTATTGAAAGTGAATATTTATTGAAAGCATAATGACAATATATATCTATATAAAATTTTAATATATTAATTAAGCTTTTATTATTATTAATACCATTCTTCATTATTTGAAATTTTAATTTACAATAATATAATAATTTCTTATTGTATGCTAAGTATGTGAAGTAATTTTTGTTATTATTGACATTTTATAGAATAACATATATCCTTTGAAGTAAAAAAAGACTTGAATTGTAAAAGGGATCTCGAGAGAAATATCTATTACGAGGAATCTTCTTTGAGTCAATGTAAATTTATGCGAATTGACTATAATAATATAATATAATATAAAAGCTTGATACAGGCGGAACATCGCAGGTATAAAGACATCGAATAAAGCTTGTAACAAGATTGAAGTTTTAATGTGCCGATCGCGCGCGCAATTTCGAACTTCACGATCGGTCCCTTTCCAATAAATACGTCCGAACGTGACGCGACGGCAACTGGCCTGTCTGTAGCCGGAAATCCGGCCCTAACACGCGATTGCTCCTTTTTCCCCCGCACCGGTAGGAGTAACGTCTCCGGTGTGCGGCGCGCGACGTATTGTAGGAGAAAGAGGGAGACAGAGAGAGAAAAGGATCGGGGAAATGCTCGTGGATGTCCGTTCGTGCCTGACGTAAACCCCATTTCTACTGCGGACGTGAAGTGTCGGACGGACTTCGGCTTCGTTTGCGTGAACTCTGCCGGCGCGGCGAGAACTCGGGAGAAACAAAAAGCCGACACCGCAGCGGATCCGCGATGCCTGGTAACCCGATGGCGCCGTAATGGATTGCGCAGTCGTGGGGTCGCTATAAGGGTGTACACGGATGAGCGAGTCAATTTCGCGGCGCGTAGCCGCACGAGCGGGCCCGGTTGCCGTATAACTCTGCCCGCCCTGTATCTAATGCCGCAACGAGAGAGCGCCGTTCCATATCTTTCTCCTTCCCCTGCTTCCTCCTCTCGATTCTCCTCGCTCCTGTCCCATCTCGTCTCGTCTGGATGCTCCCCTTGGAAACCCCGATCACGGAGGCGGCGGCCGAACGCGGTGAATCCCCGCCGGTAATGCGAATACTTCGAGTACTCCGCGGTGCGGTTGGCGAATAGTTCGGTTCGGCGCTCGTGAAACGAGGCCCGGCGAGAAGAGAGAACGAGAGAAAGAGAAAGACAGAGAGAGAGAGAGAGAGAGAGAGAGAGAGAGAGAGAGAGAACGAAAGCGCGAGCGGCGGGCTGACTCGGTAAATCGATTAAAACAAATTCTGATCAGCGCGGATTCATTCGGTACGTAGAAGAATACCCCTGGTGGGAGGGGAAGGGTGCACGTTCCCATGACGATGCTGCGGCACTGCGGCTAGACAGGGGACCCGGATGAGAGATGGAGATATAGAGGAGGGAGATAGAGAGAATCAATTTCGAAGTGACGCCACGAGCGCTGATGCGGGATAATTTATTCCACGCATCAACCGCTGAATCGATCGGATCTCGTCACGCCGAAACGTACCTCCGGAAAATGCGATCGGCGAATGCGGGCGGCGCGAATGCGACTACTGCAGGGCTTAATTCGTCGATACCTGAAGAGAGCGGATCTCTCGATCCTGCCGACCCTCTGCCGACTCTCTCTCCGGGTTTTCGCCTACCTACCGAGAGAGAGAGAGAGAGAGAGAGAGAGAGAGAGAGCCCGCGATATTTCATCCTATTAACCGGGACGGGAGGCGGTGGCGAAAGGCAGCGCCTTCCCTCGCCGAAGCGCGGACGGTGCAATTTGTCGCGTAATCATTTTTATCGCGGTGTAATATCCTCGCCAAAGGCGCGAACACATTTGCGGCCGTGCAGAGTCGTTGGCGTGTTGGTGCCACTACGTTTCGCGTTTCCCGAAAAGCGACAAGTCCGAGGTCGCCCTCGGTAAAAATGTCGCCTCAGCTTTGCAGCGAGAGTGTCGTCTATGGGTATAACCCGAGGTCGCGATGTAATTTACTTTATCTGCTGAAGCACATTTCCAGATATTTTTAATGCTGTGGCTTTAGGATTATTAATTTTTGGGATATGCTACACATACATTGTACGTTCAGTTACGATTACGTTGCAGTAATAGCATAATAGAAATTTTAAATAAATAATTGACAATACTTTATATTGCAAACATGTATTAAATAAAAATATATAAATAAAAGCGTAATAATATGCTACAATTACGCCACATGCTTTAACGAAAAATGGCAGTGCCAGGTACTTTAGTGTGAGATAACGATAAGACGTCGAGAAAAAAAGTTCAAATTATACGTGCAGACTGCAACGCGCCGCTTTGTAATTTATAGGTGTTGATGACTTCTTAAAAGTGCTTTCACCGCTCAATTAAGCTGCGCGGTTAAAGTCACGATGCTCGGTACTTATAACAATGTACATGCTTTTTTTTCTTGTAAAATGTAATTTGAATACTTGATAACCCACTGCGTCGTTTCACGTCGGCGCGGGGCATTATCCCATTGTGCGCGGTATCTATTTACATAAGGAAACCATAGTAAATGAAAATTTATCTTGTAAGGGTGAGTGAAGTCAGACAACAACAACAATGAGCACGGGTAAAGTGCGGCTGCGAGGAAATGTATAATTATAATAATTATTTCTCGTACGCGCGCGCGGGCATGCATATGCATGCGACATGGCGATTGACTAATGAAAACTTCGTTTATTCTCGGCACCCGTGTAGTATCGTAACACCGATCTTCTTCTCCGTGGATAGATCGTTAAACCTGGCGTGAATGGCCCGATGGTCTAGCGCGCACACACTTGGCAAAAAAAATCTTATTACGCATTTTATTACTCATAGAGCGTAGCGCGAGCGAGCGTAACGACATACGTTCGTTCTCTCTCGTGCAGAAGCGCGCAATCTTATTATAGCGTTATACTCCCCTAAGGACGTGACGACGTACGGATATTATTTCCTTTTCTCCGTGTCTTCGTCGGGTATTGATCTCGGGGAAATCCCCGAGAATCGAGGGAATATATCGCGTCGCGAGAGGGGCAATGCGAGGTAATGCGGATATTACGCCCCTTTCTTTCTGTGACTTTCTACAATTTGGTATTTCGCTTAGCCAGGCTCTACGTATGAACTTATGAAACGCTATAATCGTTGACTCGTGATAACAGCTGCGGCGGCACCGTGGCCTTATCCTCATCGTTTTTGTCGCCGTCGCCGTCGTCGTCGTCGTCGTCGTCGTCGTCGTCGTCGTCGTCGACGTCATCGTCGTCGTCGTCGTCGTCGTCGACGTCGTCGTCGTCGTCGTCGTCGTCGTCGTCGTCGTAGTCATCATCGTCGTCGTTGTCGCCGTCTGAGTAAAGTTTTACAGCCGGCATGACTGTTCGTTTTCGGCCGACATCGTTTTGCAATTACTATGGCTTTTACGATTCGCCCGAGCAGAAGCTACGACCTCCGATATTATGCCCCTGTGGGCGTGCGTTGATTAAATGTTGGAGATTGGCCGACCGGTCTCTCCGAGTTTTCTCTTCGGCGGCGAAAATCAAGCGTCTCCCGCGCTGCTTTAGTTCAGTGCGAAGCTGCAAAAAAATTCAAGATGATAGTCTGCGTAATATAATAGCTTGGCACAAGAATACCCGGTCGAAGGCTGGCACTTCTGCCAACGGAAGGGGAAAAGTGCGGGACGTCTTAGACGCTCTTGGCAGTACAAGCGAAATCCTGGCGTCGTGCGCGATAGATCGGTACGTGTCCAACATGGTTATCCCGCGAATTTATATCACTGCCCGAAATCCCACTTTGAACGGCGTGCCGCGGCGAAGTGCGCGCGATCGATCGGAAAAGACGAGGTCTAACCCACTGGATTACATTTCGGACGGTAAATTGTAACTACACTGAATTGCGACAACGCGACTTTGCTTACGTATCGGAGGATACGAGAATAGCGAAAAAAGTGAAAGACGAATTGAACCTCTAATTTACACATATTAGCATAATCTACTGCCTGGCTTTCCACCCCCACCTCTCTCTCGACAATCGTTAAAATTGAAATTACTGACACTGATATATAGAGTCAGTCTTTCACATTTTTAACTTGCAAATGCTTCAAAAACATAGTTTTATTACATTTTGATTAATGCTGTGTCATTAAATTTTTGCGAAATGAATTTAAATTATCACCTGTCATGTCCGTGATAAAATCCGTTTATCTAACAAGAAATTAGAGATCAGCAATAAAAGTTATCTAAATGAATTGCTTGTGTGAAAAGTTTGGAGAGATTATGGATTTCATATGAGGCAAGAAGCGGATATAAGTTCGCCCTACGTATTGATTTCGGCAAGTTTTCCAGAAACTTACTCCGGTTGCTCCGCTTGGAAAATAGACGATTCGTGTATCAAGATTAGATGTCGTTTTGCAATTTCGAGATTTTCGCGTTATATGGAAACATTATTCGAGGCACATCTGCCACGATCGTGCCCACAATGTAATCCGAGCGCAAAAAGTGCGGAACGCCGGCTCTCTCGAGCGTTTCCAGATCGCAAGAACTGTTAGAAGCTAATTACTTTAATGAGTTTCACGCGGGTTCTTTTTCCAGGAAACGCATTCCTCGTGAACGTGGCGCTGGCGGACCTGCTGGTGACTGGCCTGGTAATACCGGTCTCGGTGATCGTAATCCTGGCGGGCTATGCAGAGTCCCTGAGTGCCTGCCGATTCGAGTGGACCCTCGAGGCTCTTTGCTTCCTGGTGACCGTACTAACGTTGGCCGCAATCGCCGCCGAAAATTACGGACGTCTGTGTCTGCCTGCCGAAAGGTACAGTGGAAATGGAGAGAGACCCGCGTAAAAGGGGTGTTTCCGCAATTTAACGCGTCGACTGCCACGTGACATCATGGTCGCGTTTCATTCTCTCGTCTATTTTATCCCAGGGATCCTTTTGTAGCTTCGTGATATTCGAGCGTGGTATACATCACGCGAAATTGAGAAGTTCTCTAGAAGAACAACTTAACAATTAAGACATTTTTCTATCTTTTTGCATTTCGAATTGTTCGCGCTATCGATTTGCATTCAGCCTAAATATTTTCAATTCCGAATATTTTTCACGAATTTCTAAATATAAAATATATGTCTAATATATTTATGTGACACACCTCTTAACATTTATAAAAATGACGATAATGAAAATGAGAAAAAATATTTTAGGTGTTCTCCATTTATACGTTTTATAATTTTTTTTACTCTTGCTATACACAAGCTGAAACTTACATGCAAAGAATAATTGAAGTTGGTCTAAAACTAAAATTTCACGTAATGACTTTTACGACACTATATTTTTCAATTGTAATAATACACGCAAAAAATTGCATTGATGATCGGATATAGCTTATCGCAGTTACTATATCTAAAGGATACTGCAGAAATTGAATACATTATTCGTATATTTCTTGAATGTATAATATTTCTCGATATTATATTCGAATATTTTTTGTGCTAAAACAGTCAATGCATAAAGTACGACGCTCAGTTTAATAACAGCATGATTTTATGGCATTATGGGCGAAATGCGGAATATCACTTTCATAATGCGATGGTTACCCAATATTTTATATATTTATGGCTTTTCCGGACAATACGATTACAGTGCTGTGGTGCGAAAACGCAATTCTAAAGTAATGACACACATTGTGTCTGGCTCGGCACTATTTATATGCAAAACTCCAACTTTCTATGCAAATTCATTTGCTGCGACATTTCCATTTGCGCATAGACACAGTTCCGGATTAAAATGTTTCCTAGTTAGCTTTCATGGCGCAGGCTGAACACGTAATAATGCAATTCGTCGTCCAATCAGCTAAACATCACGTTAATCCATATTATTATCATCCGGGGGAACTCTCTCGTACATTACAATTTATACCATTCAAAAGATGCAAAAATGCTTTCTCTTTCCGCGAAAGGCTCGATTAATGGGCAAAATGCACATCCACTCTGTGCGTTACCGATTACACTCGACAAATTACGGCACTGCAAAAAACGATGCATCGGTAGGTCGGGAAGCGGGAAGATTGATTAGGTTATTGCGAAAATAGTAGAAAATGGTGCTGACCTTTCGTCTGACCGTCGAAATGGCGCGAATCCAACTCTGGACATGAACGGTGACCCGGTGCCCGATCAATATTACAACCCTGTAACTGCCACCGCTCGGGGAGACGAGTCCGCTATTACCGTTATCGCGTCGTCTCATCCGGAATACTTCTTTTTTTTTTTATTCTTCATCGGGAGACGTCGGCGGATCCGCTCGCGCCCGCTCGTCGACGGACGATGGGTGAAAGAGACGACCAGAGACGACGAAACGCGTTGTCAGCGATGGAAACAAGGAGGAGGGATGAGAGAGAGAGAGCGAGAGAGAGAGAG